CTTTCTTGTTTCAGATTGTTTTTCTTTTTTCTTCTTTCTTTTCCTTTATTATTATGTTTTTCAAAGCCATTTTTAAAATCTCCCATATTTTTGCAAGTTTCTGTTCCACATGGGCTTTAACCTCCCTGACACTGTTCTTAAGACTTTGTCCCATTCTTAGAACAGTACTTGGTGTGTGTGTTTTCTTTTATCTTTGGTTCATGTCCTTCAAATGTCAGAACTTACCAGACATTTTTGTCTTCTTTGAAGATTTATGTTTTGAAAGTCTTTCAACCCTATGGAGTTGTACTTTTTTATAAATTATTTTGGGGGCACCTGGGTGGCTCAGTTGGTTAAGTGTCTGACTCTTGATTTTGGCTCAGGTCGTGATCTCAGGGTAGTGAGACTGAGCCCTGCATCAGCCTGCTTAAGATTCTTTCTCTCCCTCCCCCCCCCACAGATGCTCTCTCTCTCTAAAAAAATTATAAATTATTTTTAGAACTATTTACTGATCCTTCACAAGTGGACTTTGTCCTAACTTTCATGTTGTTAACTTTCAAAATATTAAGTACTTAAGAACATTAGTGAATGTTACTGGTGGTTTTATTTGGTTTGAAGAATTATGGCTGAAGTATCTTTTTCCTTTGAGCTTTTCTGTATTGTTTTAAGTTAGCTGCTTACTGTTCCCAATACCAAATTGTATTCCTTAGCTACATATGGAAAAATTTGGCTTCCTTCTGTTTTTTTTTTTCATTGCCTGGCCTATATAACTTTAAGCTGTTGATTTCCAATCTTCTTAAAGTTCCAAGTTACAAAAAACCGGACAGGTAGAGAAGCTTCTTTGTTTTGTTTTGTTTTTCATTATCTGAAAGAGGGTTTGTTTTTATTTTTCCCTTTAGAATTGAATTATGAACATCCAGATACTTTATGTGTTATGTGTGGAATTAAATCTTAGTATACCAATATAGATTACTTCTTCCACAAATCAGATTTTCATATTTTCATGGACTTAACTTTTATTTTTTCAGTGTGAACTTAAGGGCAACTTGGGGTTGGAAGGAAAAGAACTCGAGACTGAAAGTTTTTGTTTGGAGTCTTGTTTTAGATTGCTTACTACTGTTGTTGACCATTAGAGTGGTTAATTGAGAGTAATAGAAAAGCCAGGTAGTGATTTGTTCTTTTGCTTTGCTGATCAGAAAGCAAAATTGAGCATATTACGTAGTTATTTAGATATAAAGAGAAGCCCAAATTTCTACAAAGTTTTTCTTGATAAAACTCAAAATGTTATAATAATAATGGATTGGTGTTTTTGTAATATAGGTCGAATAATGAGAAGAATGGCATTCTCTTTTGGAGGGATGACATTTTGCTTAATCGGGCTAAAGATACTCCTCATCAAAGTTATTTGCAGATGTTCCTCTAGTGTTACTGACTTGAAATGAGATTTTCCATATTTCATTTTTGATAATGTCTTTTCACACATACAGGTACAAGAAAACTTGGAGATATTGCAGGTTTAATTCGAGACTAACGTAATAAAGCAAATACTGCAACAAAACAAGTCAAATGAGTTTTTTGGTTTCCCAGTGCATATAAAAGTTACGTTGACACTGTACTGTAGTCTGTTAAGTGTGCAATAGCATTATGCCTAAGAAACAACACATAGCTTAATTTAAAACTGCCTTATTGCTAAAAAGTGCTAACCATCGTCTGAGCTTTCAGCGAGTTGTCATCTTTGCTGGTAGCGATTCTTGGCACAACACTGGCTGCAGCTTCAGCATCAGCACTTGCTGCTTCACCTTGCACTTTGGTGTTACGGAGATGACTTCTTTCCTTAAACCTCATGAAGCAGCCTTCAAACTTTTCTTGTGCAGCCTCCTTACCTCTCTCAGCCTTCATAGAATTGAAGAGAGTTAAACGGCGTTGCTCTGCATTAGGCTTTGGCTTACGGGAATAGTGGAGCTGGCTTGATGTTCTATCCAGACGACTAAAACGGTCTCCATATCAGCAATAAGGCTGCTGAACTTTCTTATCGTCCATGTATTCACTGGAGTGAATTTTAATTTTAATTTCCTTGAAGAACTTTTCCTTTGCATCCGCAGTTGGGCTGTTTGGCCCAAGAGGCCTAGCTTTTGGTTTACCGTGGCTTTTGATATGGCTTCTGACATGGCTTCCTCACTAAGCTTAATCATTTCTAGCTTTTGATTTAAAGTGAGAGAGATGTGTGACTTTTCCTTTCATTTGTACACTTAGAGGCCCTTGTAGGTTTATTAATTGGCCTAATTTCAAGATTGTGTCTCAGGGGGTAGGGAAGCCCAAGAAAAGGGGGAGGGGGGAACAGGTGGTCAGTGGAGCAGTCAAAACACACACATTTATCCGTTAAGTTTGCCGGCCTGTATGGGTGTGGTGCACAGCACCCCAAAACAATTCCAACATCAAAGATCCCTGATCACAGATCACCTTAACAAATACAATAACGATGAAAAGTTTCAAATATTGCAAGAATTACCAAAATGTGAGGCAGAGATAGGAAGTGAGCTAATGCTGCTAGAAAAATAGCACCAGCAGACTTGCTCCACACAGGGTTGTCACAGACCTTTCAATTCATTAAAAAACACAGTATCTGGGGTGCCTGGGTGGCTCAATCGTTAGGCGTCTGCCTTCGACTCAGGTCATGGTCCCTGGGTCCTGGGATCGAGCCCCGCATCGGGCTCCCTGCTCCACGGGGAGCCTGCTTCTCCCTCTCCCACTCCCCCTGCTTGTGTTCCCTCTCTCACTGTGTCTCTCTCTGTCAAATGGGTAAATAAAATCTAAAAAAAAAAACCAGTATCTGCGAAACGCAACAAAACATGGTATGCCTATATTGCTGTCTAATCAATCCACAAGCATAAATTAATGAAGCATATTTATCCCTTAGAGAAGGCATTTATAGAATTCATTTGATACTTACCTTTCAGCATATCATTACACAGCAGAGTTACCACTTTGAATTGAAGGTTAGGTGGAAGCTCCTTAGATGGACAGTTGAATAGATTTTGAAATAAGGAAATTTTCTTTACTTGCAGTGAGGTCCAAAAAATGCTTCTGGAACTGTGATTTGTCCTTAGAAAATAAATCTGCTACAAATTTGCATGGGAACGGAGCTCTCGTTTCTTTGGTAGCGTAAGAAGTGCGTGAAGCAGCTTGCCTGACACTGTGATTCCAGTGTTAGTTTTTGCTGAAATGATTTTCCTGCAGTGTAAGTTTTGCATGTAGGCGCTGTTAACAAATAGTAGGGCAAGTTAGGATATTCAGCTTCTTTTTCTGACAAAAATTCAGAGAACTGGTGATGGTTAAGTCCACAATAATGTTCACCATTAACACTACTGGTTCAGCAATATGATAGATTCAAATAGTTTCTACAGACTACCTGCTGATGAATAATATAAGGAATTACCCATAGACTTTAGACACTTTACATTTCCACAGGCTTCAGAAATTTGTCCAACTTGTCTTTTGCTGCTCTATGCATAATAGGTAGCACCATTTCAGTTGTAGCACATCTTAGCAGATTCCACTTCAAACTGTGCTTAGTGTTTTCTCAACTTCTTTGAAATATCACCTGTAGTTGCTCCATGCAGACTATTCATAGAGGCTACCTCTGTAGTTACTTCAAACTTCTTGAGTAATCAACACTTGACTCCATGAATAAACAACTGGATAATAATCAGTTACATTTGTCGACTCATCAAGGCCCAAGAAACACTCAAAAGCATTTGCGGTCTCCTTTTTCAATTGATTATGACATATCCCAATATCCTTGAATTTTTGAGCAACTCTTCTCACCAAAAAGCTAATAATCTTAAACAACTTTCTCTGGACCCATTTCTTGAGCTTCTGCAATCAAGCACAGTTTAATTAACTCACCATCAATAATACAGCTTTTCTTGGGGCGCCTGGGTGGCTCAGTTGGTTAAGCGACTGCCTTCGGCTCAGGTCATGATCCTGGAGTCCCTGGATCGAGTCCCATATCGGGCTCCTTGCTCAGCAGGGGGTCTGCTTCTCCCTCTGACCCTCCCCCCTCTCATGTGCTCTCTCTCTCTCTCATTCTCTCTCTCAAATAAATAAATAAAATCTTTAAAAAATAATAATAATAATACAGCTTTTCTTGCTTAGCCAACAAATAAGCCACCTGGAAACTTACTGTGGTTGAAGCCTTCTTTCTTATTCTTGTGAGAAAATATTTGGTGATGAGATATTTTGTTTTAAATTTTCCAGTTTTTCAGACTTTAGCTTTATCTGTGAATGGGAACATGGTGATGAATGCTTGGTCTGATAGTATGAACGTGTATTTTCTTTTAGCACAGTTAAGTCATGCCGTTGCATAGTAAGTCTCAGTCTTTTCCATCTCACAACAAAATAATCCATACCCTACTCTGCCTTTGAGGGTGACATTCAGAGTGCACTTTGACTTCATTTGACACGAGAACGCACTGGTCATTTCTTAAAATGTCACGGTATGGTGATCTGCATGGCACTTGACACGCGGTCAGGTTACATTACTGCGATTCATAAGGCCTAGATCGTCCCCAGTGCAAAGCAGCGAGCGGGCCCCATTCGGTCTCTCACGTCTACTTGGCCCAGCCACAGACAATATGTAAGTGAAGGTCTCCGACTGTATTCCTGTAAAAGTTGGTGAACACCGAAATTTGAATTTCACGTACTTTTCATACATCACAAAACATCATCTCCCTTTTGTAGACACAATCTTTAAAAAGTGTAAAAATCATTCTTCGCTCTCAAGGAAAAAAATAGGCACCAGGGCTGATTTTGGCCCATCGGCCATAGTTTGCTAATTCCTGACCTACTTTTTTCCTGATATAACAGGGCCTTTTCAGGAGTTTTCTTTTATGAAATTTTATTCACATGAGGTCTTAAAATTCACTTCTTGACCTGCATTCTGGATTTTCACATAATTAAAACTGTTCTACAGAACACATGCTAACTTTGGTTTTCAAGATTGATCTCCTTTCTCCTTGTAGATAATTTTCCACTTGTTCATCAAGATGGAAAGCTCAGATTCTAACGATAAAGGAAGTGGTGATCAGTCTGCAGCACAGCGCAGAAGTCAGATGGACCGATTGGATCGGGAAGAAGCTTTCTATCAATTTGTAAATAACCTGAGTGAAGAAGATTATAGACTTATGAGGGATAACAATTTGCTAGGCACCCCAGGTATGTGATGTGTAAAGATTTATATATGTAAATTGCTGGTCTTTTTTTTTTTTTTTTTTAACTTGTTTTAAAAATCTGTTTCTTCAGCTGTTACGAAGTGTCATTTTAATACAAGGGGTACAGTATGACATTTATTGCTGTACTTAATTGCCTGGTTCTGTTCACTCCTATTTGGAATTATCCTATATCACATCTTTTAGTTATGATTTATATTATGAATTTAGAGCGAGCTGAATTGAAAAAGTGGAACTGAATAAATTTTTGTTTTTAGTTAGCTTTATTTAATTTACTAGAGATAAATCCAAGTGTGGAAGAGCTAATGAGAGAACGTTAGTTCCTAGGACAGACTTTTTTTTTTTTTTTTTTTTTTTGGTCATCTTTGATTCCTAGATTATGTTCCAGTTGTAATCCTCCAAAGCTGTCCTTGGGTAAAATTGTCAGTTCAGAACTTTGTGCTTGGTTATTCTCTTTTGCCCATTTATGTCCCATTTGATCCTAATTAAAATTCATTATCTCTGGTCCTCCTCATTTCTATTTAATTCTAACCTTTGCGTTATTTAAATTTTAAAAGGTAAGGTGTTAGTTAGCATGACTCTTCGAAGAGGGAGTGCATTTTGAGCCAGCAGTACCAGACTTGAATCAGAACGCCCCAGTTGGTATTCTGGCCCTGCCAGTTATTAATACAGCAGCCTCTCACTTAGTCTCAGTTTCCTTGTTTTAAAATGCAGATAATATCTACCTTGCAGAGTTACAGTTCGAAAGAATGAGAAGTCGTATGCAAAAGCATTTAGTACACTGGAAAGAAACTTGCATCAGTTGTAATGTCTTGCCCCCAAAGAAGTGAATTTTACCCAGGTTCCTACTCTTTGGTTTTCATCTCCGTTTTTATTTGTAATTTGGCATATATTTCTAAACTATTTTCAGGTGAAAGTACTGAGGAAGAGTTGCTGAGAAGACTACAACAAATTAAAGAGGGCCCACCACCACAAAACTCAGATGAAAACAGAGGTATATTTTGCTTTGGGGGGTGGGTAGAGGATGAAATAGATAAGGAAGTCCAGGAAAGGTCAGCCAGAGATTATCCAGAAACAGTGCTAAGGAACTGTTAACAGAAAGAGAACTGGCATTTTCTTGGTATTTGGTGAGAATGTCAACATGTTGTTTTTCTGCTTCACCTTTGGGTTTGTATTAATTGAGACATAGTGAGAAATGGCCTATTTAAATGTGTTTTTTTTTTTTTCCTGAGTTTGCACCTCTGTTGAAATTTCCTCCCACCTGCTGAATTATTTCTTCCTTATAAACCTGTGCATTCTCCACCAGCAGAAAGAAAGGCTGTATTCTCTAACCTGGTGGCCCTCAATGGGTTACATCCTCACCCCACCCCCGCCCGTGGGCCATCGGCAATGTCTGGAGACATTTTTGGTTGTTGTCACAGCTGGGGGTTTGCTACTAGTATCTAGTGGGTGGAGGCCAGGGATGCTGCCAAACATCCTAACATCCTGAAATTCATAACAGCACAGCCCCCACAACAAAGAATTATCTGGCTCAAAATGGAAATAGTGCCACTGTTGAGAAACCCTGCTTTTAATTTTAAGTAGGACTGTAGGGAATTTGACTGTCTAACATAAGAGGCTATATAATAACAGTTTGGTTCTTGAGCATGCCATTATATGTACCATGCTAGGTTCAGACTCTTCATTTTTGGTCTGGACTCCTAATTTCATGTTAATTTAAAATCTTGGTAATATGAAGAAGTATTGGAATACTTCTGAATCAGTAAACCCTGTTTATATTTTTGCAATGGCTACCGCAGTCTTGTATTTTAAAAGTCCGGTATTATCAAAGGCACTTAAGTCAAGATCCTAGAGGAAATGTTGTAGACTAATGAAAATGTGACAAAAATGCGATTTGAACAAAAATACTAGCCCTGTACCCTAACTGGCATTTACCTTGTTTGATTAATGTTTTGACAGAGGCCTGAAAAAATGTCTTCTGACAGTCCACAGTGGTATCCTAGGCTCTGTATATGATGCAGTTCTGAAAATAGACTTCCTCCAGATTCCCTTTAAAAAAACTTCCTCTCAATTTCCCTAGGATTAACTTGCTCTTTCAAAATGGAATTGAAACATTCCTGCCTTTACTTGCAAATCTATGCAGTATAGTTCACAAAAATCTGTAAATGTGAAATCTGTTCAGAATCTTTGTTCTTTTTTTCTAACACAGTTTCAGAGCACTATTACATGACTGTCCTAATTTTAGTAGTTCCTTTTTCTCCTTCTCCCCTCCCTTTTTTAAAAACAGGTGGAGACTCTTCAGATGATGTGTCTAATGGTGACTCTATAATAGACTGGCTTAACTCTGTCAGACAAACTGGAAATACAACAAGAAGTGGGCAAAGAGGAAACCAATCTTGGAGAGCAGTGAGCCGGACTAATCCAAACAGTGGTGATTTCAGATTCAGTTTAGAGATCAATGTTAACCGTAATAATGGGAGCCAAAATCCAGAGAATGAAAATGAGCCATCTGCAAGACGTTCTGGTGGAGAAAATACAGACAACAGCAGCCAAAGGCAAGTGGAAAATCCACGATCTGAATCAACATCTGCAAGGCCATCCAGATCAGAACGAAATTCAACTGAAGCATTAACGGGAGAAGTCGCTCCTACCAGAGGTCAGAGAAGGGCAAGAAGCAGGAGCCCAGACCATCGGAGAACCCGAGCGAGAGCTGAAAGAAGTAGGTCACCTCTGCATCCGATGAGTGAAATTCCACGAAGATCTCATCATAGTATCTCATCTCAGACTTTCGAGCATCCTTTAGTAAATGAGACCGAGGGAAGTTCTAGAACCCGGCACCATGTGACATTGAGACAGCAAATAAGTGGACCCGATTTGCTGAGTAGAGGTCTTTTTGCAGCTTCTGGAACAAGAAATGCCTCACAAGGAGCAGGTTCTTCAGACACAGCCAGCAGTGGTGAATCTACAGGATCAGGACAGAGACCTCCGACCATAGTCCTTGATCTTCAAGTAAGAAGAGTTCGTCCTGGAGAATACCGGCAGAGAGATAGCATAGCTAGCAGAACTCGGTCAAGGTCTCAGACGCCCAACAATACTGTCACTTATGAAAGTGAACGAGGAGGTTTTAGGCGTACATTTTCACGTTCCGAACGGGCAGGTGTGAGAACCTATGTCAGTACCATCAGAATTCCGATTCGTAGAATCTTAAATACCGGTTTAAGTGAGACTACATCTGTTGCAATTCAGACCATGTTAAGGCAGATAATGACAGGTTTTGGTGAGTTAAGCTACTTTATGTACAGTGATAGTGATTCCGAGCCTAGTGGCTCAGTCTCGAGTCGAAATGTGGAAAGGGCAGAGTCACGGAATGGAAGAGGGGGTTCTGGTGGTGGTAGCAGTTCTGGTTCCAGTTCGAGTTCCAGTTCGAGTTCCAGTTCAAGTTCCAGTTCTAGTTCCAGTTCCAGTCCTAGTTCCAGTTCCAGTGGTGAAAGTTCAGAGACTAGCTCAGAGGTGTTTGAAGGCAGTAATGAAGGAAGCTCATCATCAGGCTCATCAGGTGCCAGACGAGAGGGTCGACACAGGGCCCCGGTAACCTTTGATGAAAGTGGCTCTTTGCCCTTCCTTAGTCTGGCTCAGTTTTTCCTCTTAAATGAGGATGATGATGACCAACCTAGAGGACTCACCAAAGAACAGATTGACAACTTGGCCATGAGAAGTTTTGGTGAAAACGATGCATTAAAAACCTGTAGTGTTTGCATTACAGAATATACAGAAGGCAACAAACTTCGTAAACTACCTTGTTCCCATGAGTACCATGTCCACTGCATCGATCGCTGGCTATCTGAGAATTCTACTTGTCCTATTTGTCGCAGAGCAGTCTTAGCTTCTGGTAACAGAGAAAGCGTTGTGTAATTAAGTTCTGAACTCTCAGCTATGTAGCTGGTATAGTGATGGGCAAACAGGAATCACTTGCTTTATGCCCACTTTTTGAGTGGTGCTTAAATGTAAAGTAGCAACCTGAATTGAGTCATTGCTTTCTGAGTGAATCATTGTCCTTTTTCCAATTTCTGTTCCAGAATAAAAGGAAATATTTAAAAAGCAATGTTTTAGGACATAAAACTCTGATTTCAGTGCCAGTAATTGATATTACTGATGATTTGTCATATATGCTTATCAGTTTCTCCTTTGTTATCTTAAAAGATTTGCCTTAGCAATGGCTCTTTATCCGTTTCACGTTGATCTTTAACGTTTCCCACGCCATAGGAGAGAAGGGCAAAGGAAATTCCCAGTTTAGACTAAGTTACAGTACATGTTTCATAAGTGATTGCTTAAAGCTCTACCATTCCCAGTTCTTAGTTGGCACAAATTCAGCTACATGCTGAATATCATTTGTTCACCTTTCAGATGAGGTGATATTGGACGTCAGTGTAAATAACACTAAGGTTAGGATCTTCTAAGTGTATAACTGTCTCCTAAGCCCATCACTGTGGCACACTGTAGAGTGAGCTTATAGTTTAATTGAGATATTTATCTTGTGGAAATATTAAAAAAGCCTATGCTTGTGTAAGTGAAAAAAATCACATTCATTTGTTTAAAAATGTAAAGCTATTTTGTAGAGGCTCAGTACTTTTCCAATGCACTGTTGTATTAATGCATTAAAAATTGTAAAGTACCATGCTTAGAAATGAAAAAAAAACTGCTTTTTGTGAGCCAACATAGTAAAAAAAACACACCAAACAAAGTACAAAGCTGCTTTTGTAAGTGTGTAGATGTCAAGAGCAGAACATATCTAGTATTTAATGTATGTGAACAGCTACTGTGACATGCAAAGGAAAGGACAGAGTGCAGAATTGAACTGCATTGAAGATACCAGTGGAAACTTGGTACTTTAACTTGGATTTAGGCAGGAAATGAAAGACGGGAGGAGTAAAGAAAACTGCTCTGAAGAATTTAAAATTTTTATGAAGACAGTAATCATACAGACGGGAACTGGTTTCATATGGTGAGGTCCTTGACACAGTATTCTGCTTGAGCTGATGAAGTAGATTAACAAATTTGGTAGAGTTTTGGTTAAAAACAAACAAACCACTACCACGTAGCACAAGTTACATCGATGTTTTCACAAGTCTGCTCCTCAGAAAAGGAAAAAAAGAAGGTGGAGGAAAGAGACTATAAACCACTTTTAGCATAGGAATTGAAGTTGGTACAGATGTGTGTACTAATAGGAAAGTCTCAAATTTGCGTTATTTTCTAGATTTGTCATTTAAGGTACCAGTGCACACTTGTTAATATTTCATTACCATCTAACACAGACCTAACATCGCGCATTTAAAGGCCAATTGAGGAACTAAGGGATGTTTATCCTTTGTTGAAAGTGAATTGTGTTGGGTCATTTGAGATTCAAATTTTAATGGTGCTGCCCATATTTGAAGATGAGGCTGCTGACTCACAATCTATGGGACACGCATTTTGTGTTGTTTCCTTAGTAATGAGATTAGGTTTGTGAAGAACCCCAGTACTCTTGCCGAATTTCTCTTTTGAGGCCAGTTGGGGTTAGGATTAGTCTGACTGTGGAGGACTTGTTTGTTTATCTGGGAGAAGATAGTGTGCCCAAAGAGGAATTGAACACATCCTTGGTCTTTAAAGTGAAAACTACCCACGCATAGTCAGATACTCTACAAAATAAACAGGTCTGCTTCAGGAATTATCTGGCTACCTTAACTGTTATCAACTTAGCTGTAAAGATTATTTCAAAGCTCATCCTTTCATATTTTCCTCTGGCTTTCACTCCTACCTAAGTATCAAGGAAATTAACTTGTAAATATGGTAGTTGTTTACTAAGGATATGTACTGCTCTTGCAAGGAAATAATGTCCAAACAAAGCTTCACTTATTTTTTTTAATATAAGCAGATTTCACTGTTTATGGCGCTTATGTAATACATTTTATCTTTTTAAAAAAAAATTGTCCATGTAAAAGTCAGGATTCCTTTATATTTGTGAGCCTCCTTGTCTCCTTTCCTAAGGGTGTAATCTACGATTTTCAGATCTGCAGGGTAGTCCTGATTGGCTTAAAACCCATTTTCCTCTTGGTATAAAACGTCCCATTATAAGGGTGTTCATTTTAAATAGTTTAAAAACGACTGCAGCACATTCTGAGCATAAAACAAAGTTATTGACAACAGGTACCTCCCTAACCTCCCAAGATGTATTACTCATTTGTGAAGTATTAAAGTAAGAGGTAACTCATGCCGAATGCTGGTTATGAATGTAGATATTGAAGCTATTCATAAACACTGGAAATAGAATTTTAAGTTTTTAGCCTTCAGTAGAATGCACATATTGGACATGTGCATGTGGACACCTTTTTCAATAGCACTCATTTCCATTGGATTGTGTAGAATGGATACAAATATTTTAGTGGAATTTGCTACTTAATTTTTTTTTTTTTTTTTTACAAAGTCCATGACTATACTTATTAGTGTTGTGGACATTGAAGACAAAGTCATTCGTAGGTGTCAGATGTACAATGGAGAGCAAGAGTCTTTTTTTTCCCCACCAGCATCCGAAACACCTATTCTCTTGAGGGAGCATTTTCTTGCAAAAGACTTTACATTTCATTTTGTATCTTTGCACTTTTTTCTTTATTACAGAAAGGTTCTGTCTTGAAGACCTAGTTTGAACTTCATGCAGTAATAGGAACAAGAAAAAACAATGTTGGGAAATTACATTGTTCGAAGCATAGGGAAAAATACTAAAAACTGAGTTTCCTTGAGTATTTCAGATATTTTTAAAAATTCACTTACTGGTATGAAGCATTTGAGGTGTTACGTTGTTTAACTCCAAGCAGCTGACAAGGTTGAGATTTATTAATACTAAAAACAAAATTGAGCAAGTTAGGTTTAAAGTGTGCAGACTTTATAGCAACACTAGAAGATGAGCCATGTTGTTAATTTGGAATATTTGCTCTAAAAAGAACACATTAGTTATACCTCAGTGGTGGTAATGGTTAATGGAGGTGGGGGTTTAGAGAAGTGTTCACATTAGTGTTGGAAGTATAGGAAATTATCAATTGTACAGGTAACAAAGTTTAGTACCAGGATTATATATGTGTGGTGTGTGTGTGTGCACATGCACACACATATGCACATCTAATCTCTATAAAAACATGATCGTTGAGTTTATCCAAACTTTAGGAAGCTGCTTAGCTATAAGTGTTACCTCAAGTAATTTCCCCCCGCCTTGGGAAAACATGTCCTTTCTGTGCCAAGTGTTCTCTCCTAGTGTCAGTGTCTCAGATTGTATTTATGAAGGGTTTTCACTTAATATGCTTTTTTTGTTTAACCACCTGCTTCCCAAATGTCCGTGACTTGAACTGGGTCAAGCATCAGTCATGACTTTCAGTCAGTTCCCAAAATACCCATGTGATAGGGAGGTGAATATTGTAGAATGCCTCTTAAAAGGCCATTTTTACCGCTTGCTAGAATACAGTGGCACCTTGTGGTGGTTGTTGATACTTTTCTTTTAAAAACGGAGGATATTCCCCTCCACCCCTTTTTATTCTCCTTTGTTCTTTTGTGAACACAAAATATTAGTGATCTGCCTTGAGTTTTTCAAGTTTTACCTTACTGGCTTCCCTGTCAAATGTATTATCAATATTAAGTACATAGAAGCCATGTTTGCAGGGCACTTTTATTCTTATGAGACTGTGCTGATTGCTACTTTCTAAAGTATTCTGTACCTTAGTGATGCAAGAGATTGATAAGGCACATGTGAAACTGTCAGGCTTTTTTTTTTTTCCCTTAAGTATAGTATAATTCTTCAGTATGTTTACTATTCAATAACAGTGTTGTAATTCATGGAGTTAACTAGTAAATTGTATGCTTTTGAAAAACATTTGAAAATGTAAATCAAAAAAAAAATATGCTTCATTTGGAAAGTTAAAAGTACAAGGTCCGGGGAACGAGTATTTCACTTATTTTGAAATTGGATTTTTAGTAAGCAACTAAGAAACAACTATGAGTTAAGTACTTGCCCTTTAAAAGTTTTAACATTTTGAAATTGAGTTCTTAACTGGAGCATTTCTAAAATACTATAATATTCCCAACAGGTGAGTGATCTCACATGATTTTATAACTCCACTTTGTATTTAAAATACAGCACAGAATAGAGCTGTTATTGAAGTGTTGGAACTCTCAAGGGATAACAGTTTGTATCAGTTTTTAGGGTTATTTTCATGTCTCTGTAGGTGTTTTCATTCGATTTTGAAGGAAATGAACACTCTCCAACACTCTCAAATACAATTACAGTGAGATACTTGGTTTTGATTAGGATTTGTTTACTAAAGACCCACAAGCTGCTTTATAGTCACCTGGATTGAATGATAACCTTAAATACATGCAATGGAAGTGAACCCCACCATACCACTGTGCCTCGTTATTTCAGGGTTCCTCTCAGTTCCTCATCTTGCAGATTTATTCTACTACCAAGGTATGGTTGAACCAGCTGCCCAGCCTTAACCATATTTAGTGCCCCTCTGCTAACGTTCTTTTAACTGATTGATTTGTATGTGTTTTAACTGTCTGATGTTTGGATTTTACCTCTTGTTAGCTCCATTTGTCCCTGGTGCTGCTTTTAAAGATATAGGGCCATGTGATCAGGTATCAAGTTGAATAGGTACGCAGTTGGCCTGGTTATGTATCTGTGCCTGTTTTATCTTCTCCCAGGAAGAGCTGCTTTGGTATAGATGTTTACTTGGATTCATATATAAAGAACTGGGCAGCAATCTTAGGAAGCTTTCTGAAGCCAAAAGAACCTGAAGGGATTTGGAGGGGGGATAGTAACAAAAGCTGCCTTTATGTCTTTGAACATGAAGCACATAAATGTATGTTCTGTAAAGACTAAAGTGATTGTTATACCAGGGCTTCCTGACCTCTGGGAGAGACTTTCAAAAAAGCAGAAAGGAGCACAAAGCGAAGTGAATTTGGTCGGCTTGCTTTATCTGGTTTCTCACTTTCTTTCAATTTAAATCTGAACATAACACTCTTCTCCAATATCTATCCAGAAGACTCCTGGTTGGGAAGCCCTGTATTAAATTTTGAGAATGTACCCAGTTTCCTTTTTTTTTTTTTTTTTTTTTGTACAGTGCTTTATACCTGCTAAAAATTAACTTGTTTAATGCAAAACAAGACCTTGAAAGGTCAGTCATATTAAAGCTGGTTTGATTATTAATAGTTATCTTTTAGGAAGAAGCTTTTTCCCTATGTAAGATGTCATACTGCAGATTTAAAATATAGACTATCAATAAAATGCATGAAGTGATCATTTGTGCTTGATCATCTCTCGGGTTTTTCTTTAAAAGGGAATCTGATCTGATCAAAGTTCTATTGCCTCCAACTAATGTCAAATAGACTTGAGTTTTAGAATCAAGTGGAATTCTCGTGCAACCTTGATTTTGATTTCCTCGCTGCTATGAGTTTGAGCAGATACTGGTTTATGGGATATAACCTCCATTTTATGTTGTGTAGTTTAATGGCTTAGTCTTCGAGTGGTAAAATAAAAGGTTGAGGTATATTCCAATACAAGAATCCTAGAAAGACTTCTGTAAATGACATTTTAAGTAGGTGCATCTTTGCTGTTACTTGTATTCTCACCATCGCCCTGCCTACTCTCTTGCTTGACCTCTATAAATACAAAAACTTGTCTAGGTGTGTAGATGTGCTCATGTAGCTTTTGTTTTCTGTCCCTATCTCCAACCTCTTACACGTGTTGCTTAAACCACGAAGATGTCCTTGTTTCTTAAGTAGGTTGTCACATTCTGATACCTGGGTAAGACTTCCCCCGGTACTGGTATTCGTTTAGCCAATGGTGAATTTTATTAGTTTCATTTCCTCTGGTGCCCACCAAGCCCTATCATTGGCATAGGAACTCAGTTCCTTGGGATAACTTTGGTGTGGTCAGCTCTTTGCTTTATGACTGTCCCAGGGATTTTAAGTGTTGGTCATGATTCTATTCTTTGAAGCTCAAGACTGCCACTGAAAAGTTGACATTCTCGACAACAAAGTAAGCCAACGCACAAGCATCTTGAGAGAAATTCGGTGGAAGGGACTATTGCCTGGAACAGAGGATCTGGTTAATCAGAGTGGAGTGGGGTATAAACTGTACTTTTAATGATCATTTAAAAAAAATAGGAAATCTGGGGTCCAGTTTCTTTGAGGTCTTTGAATTCAGGCAAGATTTAAATGTAAGACATTCCAAATGGATTGCTAATATAGCTGTATTAAAAAGAGCTAACTTTTTCTGATTGTTGTTAGACATTGTATCAGGTACTATAAATTATTTAATTCTCATAGTGACTCTGAGATGCATTATTACCACCCTGTTTTATAGGTGATGCAGATGAGATACAGTCTTTGGTAATTTTCCGAAGGTCACATAGTAAGTGGCCAAGTATTTCCAGTCATCTCTGATTCCAGAGCTTATTTTCTTTTTTAAAAAAATTTTTTAAAGATTTTATTTATTGGGCGCCTGGGTGGCTCAGTCGTTAAGCATCTGCCTTCGGCTCAGGTCGTGGTCCCAGGGTCCTGGGATCGAGCCCCGCATCAGGCTCCCTGCTCTGCGGGAAGCCTGCTTCTCCCTCTCCCGCTCCCCCTGCTTGTGTTCCCTCTCTCGCTGTGTCTCTCTCTGTCAAACAAATAAATAAAATCTTTAGATTTTAGCAGGCTTCCTGCGGAGCAGGGAGCCCGATGCGGGGCTCGATCCCAGGACCCTGGGACCATGACCTGAGCCGAAGGCAGATGCTTAACGACTGAGCCACCCAGGCACCCCATCCATAGCTTATTTTCATTGTACTTTTCTTCACCCTGCTCCTGTGTGGCTCCTAATTGGTTTTTAAGTATTTATCCAAGCCCTAGACTAGATAGCTTATAAGGTATGATTTCTTAGAAAAAACATGGGTTTTAGCTAGTTTGCCAGGGAAAACTTTAAGGGCAAATCTGAGGAGTAAAAGTTATATATTGTAAATTCAGTAAATCACTGTGGGCATTAACAAATAGACCTTAGTACTCTGTATATCAAGGTGTTTCATTTCCAACATTTTAGGAGGATGGAGTACATTTGGGGAATCTTTAATGTTACGAGTCATCTCAGCCCCTTGTTACATGTGCTCTTGGCCCCAGTTTTTACTCAGTTTGAAATACGAAATGACTGGAAAAGATGGCAGCTTTTGAAAAGTATTCCAGCTAGCTTACTGGCATCCAGGTAGATGTCGTTTGAAGTTGCCTTGGGCAGCCATAGGCATTCTAAGAATGTCGTCATTGCTCAGAAGATACTTGGGGCTTGTTTAAAATTGCTTTCAGAAACAATTTTATAAACTGAGAGAAGCAGCCCTATTCAGTTTCTTCACCTTATTTGCCATATTGAGACAAGTCTTGGCTATTTCCAAGAATTATCTTTTTCTTGGAGATTTGCCACCTTTAAGCATATTCAGAAGAATGTGTGCTCTAAAGGCAATCACAAACAAGGCATTTCAAATAATAGGTGCAGTAAGTAATATTTAGAGTAAGTAAATGGCTGGTGAGGTGAGTACTTTGAAATGATTATCACTCCTCAGGTAAAGCACGGGAGAAAGATCTAATTCCTACTCAAAAGGAGCAGGCATTTCAGTGGGGAGACATGTAAATAGTTAATAAAATAATACAAAAACCTTAAAAGATAGACATGCTATAAATATTCCATCCCCATTCAAATGATACTTGAGAGGAGCAGTGAAGAGTAATGGGGTGAGAATGGGCTCATCTGAATTTAGAGTTTCATCAGCTAATAGGTAATGTGTGTTGTGCTCCCGTTAAATTCTAAGCATTGTGCTGGTCTGAGATTTCTTGGTTTTGGCAGGATGGGGACCTAAAGCCTCTGAACTACTGCTGAGTTTATCAATGGACGGTGTTGGTGACTGTGATGTACCTACTTTTTAAATAAATTCACACTTGTCCCCTGTCTGCACCAAGTGTTCTAGACTAGCACTGTTCAGTAGGAGGATAACACAAGTGATATGTAATTTTAGCTTTCCTAAGAAAGCAGCCACAATACAAAAGGTAAAAAGACACAGGTGAAATTAATAATTTTATTTAACCCAATAAGGTCAAAATATTTTAACATGTTGAATTAGTATTAAAAAATAATTGAGATTTACTGGATTTCATTTTTTTTTTCAAATCGAGTCTTCAAAATCTGGTATATTGCACTTAGAGTATGTCTCATTTTGAATAAGGCACATTTCTAAATGCTCAATAGAAACAAGTGGCTAGCAGCTTCCATATTGGACAGTGCAGTTCTAGAATATGGGAGAGAATGGTTATAGTAAGTAGGATGCAACTGGTGATGGGTTTTAAAAGTTCACCTGTAGATATGCACATCTTACCTGCTCACCTACACTGCCCTAAAACTAAATGGGCATCATTTTTTTAATTGTGTGTCAAACTGTAGCTTAAGATGTCTGGAGGCCCCTGGGTGGCTCAGTTGGTTAGGCGTCCTACTCTTGGTTTCAGCTCAGGTTATGACCTCATGAGTTGTGAGTTGGAACCCCCGCACTGGGCTCCACACTCAGCAGGGAGTCTGCTTAAAGATCTCCCTCCACCCCTGCCCCGACTCGCTTGCATGCGCTCTCAAAAAAATAAATCTCTTTTTAAAAAAAAAGTGTCTATACAAGCTTACAAAACTACCATCATTCTCCCCTTTTGAGGTTAATGTACTCCATATCAAAGCTTGAGATCTAACCATTAAGAATTGGCAAAAGACCTTAGCCGGTTGAGAGCCCAATGATTAAAAGTTAGGGCAGTCCACCACAACTTCAGCATTATGTAGCAGCCAGTAAGTAGTGGTTGTCACATTTATTTATTGCAGGAACAAGCACCCCAAGTTTTATGTGGATTCTCTTAGTTCAGTTATGTGAAAACAGTACAAATAATTTCCAAGCAGTTGCCCTGTCATCTGAAATCACTACATTTGAATATTCTTGGCATTTGTTAGAAACCGCTAACCTGGATTTATGTTTCTACTTTAGTTAGAAAGTAAGTGATATATTATGTTTAAATGACTTCGAGTGGAGGGGGGAAAGCTGACATGAGGATAGAGGCTACCAAATCAGACTTCAGCCCAAGTGAAAGCAAGTGTTTCCTAACACCAAGTCTTTCTGACGCAATTGCTGAAAGTTTGTTTTGCTTTGTTCAACAACATGGAGTGAAATATTAACTCCTGTGAAAGAAGAGCCCTTGCAGTTGAGGTTTGGGGAAAAGTTGATTCATTTACGTTGGCTTTACTTGTATTTTCTGTGTGAATATAGTGTAACATTTTCTGTAGCCTTTTAATTTAGGAATCTGAAAATCCATTTAGTAGTAGAGGATGGATACTGGTTTCAATCGTGTGTGACTCAAATATGTCTCCAGCATGTGACTGACTGCTTGCTTGGATGAGGCCAGAGGAGCACATCACCTCGCTTTTTTTCAGTATTTTGGGTGTAGCCCTTCTAGATTAAAGGTAAAAATTCAGGAAGAGTTATTCTGTTGTGTCTCTGCTCTGCCCTTTCATGGGTAAGGGAAAGAATGGAACAGTGTGAAACTCTGTTAGCACAAAGGTACAGGATTGTTTTCTAAGAAGGAGACCAACTCAGCAGCTAAGCCCAAATTCTTCCCTATTGCTCTAATGAAAAGGAAACTCTCCAAGTAATTAATGCTGTCTTCTCCAGCATCTGAGTTAATCCCTTTTCTCCACATTTGGGGACCAGTAAGTAGCATCTACATTTTTTTAAAAGATTTTATTTATTTATTTGACAGAGAGAGACACAGCGAGAGAGGGAACACAAGCAGGGAAAGTGCGAGAGGGAGAAGCAGGCTTCCCGCGGAGCAGGGAGCCTGATGCAGGGCTCGATCCCAGGACCCTGGGATCATGACCTGAGCCAAAGGCAGACACTTAACGACTGAGCCACCCAGGCGCCCCAGCATCTACATTTTTAAACAGGAAAATCATTCAGCCTAATCTGCTAAATAAAAATACACTCCAAACTTCATTTTAGTATAGATACTATCTAACAACACTTGTACAGACATGGACACTGGCTGGGCCCTTTCTCTGTTATTTTTTAAAAGTCTGAGGTCAAAATCACCTGGAAAAAAAAGCTGGAAGAGCCCTCATTCTTTCTTTCCATCCTACCCCATTTCCTTCAGTCCACACTACTGGAGTGGTACATTTGATTTTGAGTACCTTACAAGTTACCTGTCCAGAATATATTAACTAGGCCTGGCTTAGGCCTTATTTCTTGTTTAAAATGCCAACTTATAAACATGAGCCTAGAAACTTGAGTGGGCTAGATTCCTGACTCCTGACATTTTTGTGGATGACAATACGTACTCATAACTGTTCCAAAGAGGTACTGTGGGACCCACTCGAAAGCATTTTGTGATTTCCAGCATCCACCCTCCAATCACCAGCACTGTAGACACACATTGGTTCTACTGAAAGGTAAATGTGAATTGCCAGCATGGCCCTGAAAGGGAAGGGGAGCTGGAGAGATGGTTATGGATTGATTAATAGATCAATAGATGTGCTGTACCTGTTTATCAGCTAGCAGGCTAGGCCTTTTCACTTTTGTCCTCTTTGATACTCATTACAGTTGGTGGGCAATTGGATATTTGCACTTTATAACTGAAAAAGAGTCAGAGGCTAAGTGACGTCCTCTGGGTCCCACTGCTAGTATTAAACATTCAAAATAAATTTATTGTAACCTGCATCCCAACATTTCAGGTGTAGGAGATACTGTGGTGAATAAGACAAAGGTCCTTGCAGTCATGGAGCTTACATTCTAGTAGGGAGAGGCAGGTGATACCTTTGTAAATAGAGATGAAAACTGTGGTTAAATGCTGGGGAGAAAATTAAAATGGTCTGATGTGATTGTGACTGAGATGGAGTAGGGTGGTTGGAGAAGACCTTTCTGAGGAGGTGACACAAGCTGATACCTGAATGAACAGGAAGCAGAACATTCCAGCCCCAGGAAATGAGCTCAGGTCATTATTTAGAGGGAGGAAAAGGAGCAATGTTGAAGAAGGGGGAGAAGAAATGAGTCAGGGGCCAGTCTGTGAATGTTTTATAGTCTAGGGAAGGAGGATAGGATTTTATTCTGAGATGAGAAGCTGTTGGAGTCTCAATCATGGAAGTGAAGTGTTCTGACTTAAATATCTACTAAGTGGCAGACTCAGAGGTACAAAACAGATCTGACTCTAGGGCTGCTGCATGTTCCATGACACCACAGAAGACTCTCCCTTCCCTGCCCCTTTCCTTCCACAAATGGAAGTACAAT